GCATTTCATGCGATTTTTATGTCATTGAAATGCGACAGACATCACAATTCTGCGCTGGAGGAGGCGAGGCCATAAGCAATATCTGTGCTCTCCTTCTTCTTGATATTCTTCTTCTTCTTATTTCTTTATTTTGATTGCACATGCTATCACGAGCTGCATCCATTTTTATTTCCGCAAACACAGTACGCTGCATCTGACGTCACGTCCTCTTCTGCACATGCGGGTCACCTCAGGGCCGTATACCGTTCACACATGAGACAGATGGCAGTCGCATTTAAATGACAGTGTGAACAACAGTGCAAAAAAATCGGATTTCGGCAAAAAATCCGATCTGAGCATTAAGACCTGCAGTGTGAACGTAGTTGAGACAGGATGCTCCTGATTTTCGCAATATTGTGCAGGTGAAAGAAGGCAGTTCTAGAGACTTGGTTTATGTGTGATTTAAAGGACATATTCTGATCAAACATGACTCCCAGGTTCCTCACAGTAGTACTGGAGGCGAGAGCTATGTCATCTAAAGTAACTACCGTATTTTTCGCACTATAAGGCGCACTTAAAATCCTTTAATTTTCTCAAAAATTGACAGTGCGCCTTATAATCCGGTGCGCCTTATGTATTAATTGTGGTTGTGCTTACTGACCTCGAAGTTACAAAGCCGCACTGCTTGATTGTCGGAGCATTACGGCTACCATAGGAGTAATACGTACTGTGCTTCAACATAATATTACGGTGTGTGTATAAGGACCCCAAAATGGCACCTGTTAAGAGACATGCTTACGAAGTGGATTTCAAACTCAAGGCTATCAGTCACGCAGTAGAACATGGGAATAGAGCAGCTGTGAGAGAATTCAACATTAATGAATCAATGGTACGGAAGTGGAGGAAGCAAGAAGATGATAAGGCGTTAATGCGCCTTATAATCCTGTGCGCCTTATGTATGAAAATAGACCCGTACATTGATATTGCGCCTTATAATCCGGTGCACTTTATGTATGAAAATAGACCCGTACATTGATATTGCGTCTTATAATCCGGTGCGCCTTATAGTGCAAAAAATACGGTATATGAGCAGATTTCTAAGGTTTTCAGGCCAAAGCACAATGACTTCAGTTTTGTCAGAGTTTAGAAGTAAGAAGTTGCAGGTCATCCAGGCCCTTATGTCTTTAAGACATGCTTGAAGTTTGACCAGCTGACCTGATTCATTTGGCTTCATAGATAAATATAACCGAGTATCATCTGCATAGCAATGGAAATTTATGTTGTGCTTCCTGATAATATTGCCTAAAGGTAACTTTACTGTTTTCATTGTTGCAGAGACATGCATATGCTGGTTTACCTTTATCATTTTTACTTTTTTCATTTGAACATAATGTGAAAGTCATCACAAAAACAGTTTTATTCTATCTGACAAACACAGCTCACCTCCATCCATCCTGCTCTTTCTGCTACTGAAATCCCCATCTACAACGACCTGACTACCGCTGTAGCATTTCTCCTGTGACCACATCACCCGTGTCCTAAAGTGCTTCCACTGGCTTCTTGTCCCACAACATATCCAATTCAAACATATTCTCATGATTTACAAAGCCCTTCATGTCCAGAAATGCTTTTCCTGCTTTGTCTGAACACTGTTTGGTGAACTTGACTCATTTGTCACGTGCTCAGAATCAGGACCTGGTCAGACTGACAGACCCAGAACGGTTCAGGAGAAGCCTGAACTCTACCTGCTGGAGGACAGCCCAGCTCACCAGTAGACCAACGGCACTAGAGCAGGAACCAGAGGCAATGCTGGCTATGGGGGTAACTGAGAAGTCTTGAAGTGAGTGGTAAATGGTCTTATCCAGTGCTTTCTACACACTGAACCCACTCAAAGCACTTTACACTATTTCCTGTTCACCCATTCGCACATCCACCAGTGATATCAGTGGCAACAACTAGGGGTTCAATGTCATGCTCAAGGACTTGTTGACATGTAAACTGGAGAAGCCATGGATTAAACCACTGATCCCCTGGTCAAGAGACAACCTGCTCTACCTCCTGAGCCATAGCTGCGCCCAAAAAGGATGGTACTCTGACTCTGAATTGATCTAAACGTGGTGTGTAAATGGCCACTGAGGGGCTGAACAGACTCTGCCCCTCTGTCTCTACGTTCACACACAGCTAAAGGCTGACGTGCCACAAACATCCTGCTGCACACTACCAGGAAACTGTCCCAGCAGTGAATCAGTACTTTGGAATGAAACTCAGCCTGTCACAGATGAAGAACCAGAATTTAGCAGAAGAGAGGTGACAAAGCTCCGCCCCTCACCTGTCTCATCTGAGACAAAGCAGGAAACAGTCTGTTCTTCTTTGTCACTGCAGAGACACAGACTGAGATGATCAGATTGACCTTCAGATCAAACTAACTACTTCCTCCGAGTCCAGCTACAGGACAGACAAGTGGAAAACTCCACTGCTGCTTCAACCTGCTGACACTCCACACACTGAAGGCGAGTTGGACGACAACACGACGCAAAGTAAAAGTACACTTCAGAGACGTTAGCAGAGGAGGGAGGGTGGCCGTGACTCACTGTACTTTGTGTCTGCTGTGATTTCAGCTGCACTCACAGACTCGATGGCATCCAGATCAGAGGAGGATCTCTGCTGTCCGCTCTGTCATGAGGTCTTTAGAGATCCTGTTCTTCTGTCATGCAGCCACAGCTTCTGTAAAAACTGTCTGCAGAGCTGGTGGAGATACAAACAAACACACGAGTGTCCACTTTGTATGAGAAGGTCTTCAAAGGGTGATCCACCTGTAAACCTGGCGTTAAAGAACCTGTGTGAGTCCTTCTTACAGGAGAGAGCCCAGAGAACTTCAGAGACTCTCTGCAGTCTGCACTCTGAGAAACTCAGACTCTTCTGTCTGGACCATCAGCAGCCAGTGTGTCTCGTCTGCAGAGACTCAAGGAAACACGCCAATCACAGATTCAGTCCCATCAATGAAGCCGCACAGGATCACAGGGAGAATCTGGGGAGATGCCTGAAACCCTTACAGGACAAACTGAAGCTCTGTAGGAAAGTTAAAGTGGAGTTTGAACAAGCAGCAGGACACATTCAGGTCCAGGCCCGACACACAGAGAGGCAGATTAAGGAGCAGTTTCAGAAGCTTCGCCAGTTTCTAAAAGAGGAAGAGGAAGCCAGGATGGCTGCACTGAGGGAGGAAGAGAAGCAGAAGAGTCAGATGATGAAGGAGAAGACGGAGGCTCTGAGCAGAGAGATAGCAGCTCTGTCAGACACAGTCAGAGCCACAGAGGAGCAGCTGAGAGCTGAAGACGTCTCATTCCTGCACAGCTACAAGGCTGCAGTGGAAAGAGTCCAGCAGCGCCCCCTGCTGGAGGATCCACAGCTGCCCTCAGGAGCTCTGATAGACCAGGCCAAACACCTGGGCAACCTGGCCTTCAACATCTGGAACAAGATGAAGGACATCCCTGTGGTCTTAGATCCAAACACTGCTCATCCATATCTCATGCTGTCTAAAGATCTGACCAGCGTGAGACGAGGAGACAAACAGCAGCTTCCTGACAATCCAGAGCGGTTTGATGATTCTTACCCCTCCGTCCTGGGCTCTGAGGGCTTTGACTCAGGGACTCGCAGCTGGGATGTCGAGGTTGGAGACAGTACACACTGGAGACTAGGTGTTCTAGCAGATTCTTCTGAAAGGAAGGGAGACACCGGATTGTGGATAATAGGGTTCAATAGAGGCAAATACTTTGCGTTGTCACCACCGTCTTCATCCACTGTTCTCCCAGTGCAGAAGAAGCTCCAGAGGATCCAAGTGAACCTGGACTGGAGCAGAGGAACGCTGTCGTTCTCTGAGCCTGACACTAACACACACATACACACCTTCACACACACTTTCACTGACACACTGTTTCCGTATGTCAACACTTTGGATAAATTCCCAGTGAAGATGGCAGCAGTGAAGTTCTGTGTGACGGTGGAACAGAGTGAATGCTGCCAACTGTAGGTTACCTGTTGGAAAAGTGGCTCCTATACCACAATCATCTGTCTTCCTCAGTTTCATTTAAATGTTTTATAAAAGGATTCCAGTCTCACTATGCCAAATATTAACCAAAGAGCTCTGGACGAGGTGATGATTTTATTTTGATTGTTTATTTTATGGTTAAATCAAATTTTATTCATTGGGTTCTTCAAAAGGGGTTTAAACTGTGTTGTAGCTCCAGCAATAAACTGGCTGAGTTGATTGACTGTAAGTTGGATCTGTGGAAGTTACAATAAATCCTATGTCAGACTACAACGTCTGTGGCCTGATACTATCTGCAGTGGTGGAAGAAGTACTCGGATCCTTTACTGCAGTAAAGGTCAAGATACCACAGTGTTATAACACTGTGTTACACATAATAACACTTGTTAATACTTCTTATTTTGTTATACTACACAGCCTTATGCTGGTTTACTGTTTACTGGCCCCTTGCATGGGGATACGTACATGCACACTGAGAGCTGATGTACCGGTCAATTTCCTCCTGTGTCCGACACACCTGGCC